GGTGGCGGCGGCGGTGGTGGCGGCGGCGGCGGCGGCGGCAGCGGCCGCGTCCACGTCGGGAGCCTGGGGGGGCGGGGCGCCCCCGCTGCGGGGAGAGGGCGGGGGCGGGGTGAGGACCGAGGGCGCCCTCACTCCTGTCCCCGATCCCCAGTCTGTCGGCTCCCGGGAAGCCAGGGGCTTCGGGGACCCCGCAGCTCACGCTCTCTGACCGGTGCAGGAACCGCAGCACCGCGCCACCGGCCGTCCCAGCCTCAACCCTGACCTGGCCCGGTCCAGCCCTTCCCCAGGGGAAAGGGAGGACAAATGCTGGGGAGATGCCCATCTGTGCCCCATCTTTCACTTCAGCCCACCACACACACACACACACACACACACACACACACACGAGCTGTAGAGTGTAAGAGGGGTACAGACAGGACGCTCTGGGGAGTCTGTGTCTAGCTGAGACCTCAGACCGGTCCTTTCTTTTTCCTGTGCCTATTTTTAATCCCCTGGAGAGCACTGTGAACATCTGCCAGACGCAGACACTCTGCAGGCCCTGCCTGGCTTTGGGACTTCTTTCTCACGGCAGCCGCTTCAGGTCTACATCGCTGCGGGCATTTCACGGAGGGGAACACTGCAGTTTGGATGGTGGTTTTGTCCAAGGACCCACCTCAGGCAGGATTTGAATCCAGTGTGTCTGACTCACAAAGCTGGCCTCGACTCAGCGGACTCCTCACCCAGAGTGACTTTAACACGCCAGCATCTAGAATCTCTCTCTCTCTCTAAAACTGGCACATTCTAGATTATTAAAAGAACAATCTGGAACCGTGTTTCTCCGAGATCACAGGGGTGGAGGCTGTGGTTTCTGGAGGCTTTGGGGACCACTATGCCTGTTCTGGCCTGGCTGCGGAGTGATTTAGCTAATGGCTCTGAAGTGGTAGGGGCCAGGAGATGTGGCAGATAGCCTCAGCTAATTCGTGCACGTTGATAACCCTTCCTTCATCACCTTGGGAGCAGCCAGATGCCAGCCTGTCCTCACACAGCCTTCTGCCTACTTTTTTGATGGGCTTAGAGGCAGAGAGGAGCCTCCATCCCACACTCACTATCCTTCCCCAAAGGAGAATCACTACAGGACGACAGAAGGCTCCCCAAACCCAGCCTCTTACTTTCTTTGGCTGGAGTCCCAGTCAGAGAGCCAGGGTTAAGGAGCGAGGCTAGACCAGAGAGAGCCCTTTGGCCTCCCAACAGAGAGGGTCATGGGCCATGCCTAGTCAGTCACACTAAACACCCTCCGTCTGAAAGCTGACCCTTGGGTGGGGCACTCGTTTCCTAGGCTTTCCAGAGACTCGGACCAGCTGCTCCCTTCCCGAACAGGGCATCTCACAAAAGCCTCCAAGATCCTATTCCCAGGCTTTAGAATTAGAAACTGAGGCACAGAAAGAGAACCCAGGGCTTGGTGCAACACCCCCCCACCCCCGCCACACACACACACCATGAGGCAAAAGCAAGCAACAAACACAGAACACTCCTGTACTAATGCTCACCCAAGGATTCTTTCCCCCCAAGTTTCTACCTGGTCCCCTGGGAAGAATGAGGTGGGAAGGGGACCGGGGGTTCTGTTGAGCTTTCTAATCACAACACCCAGCCCTCTGTACCCCCAGGACTCCCATGATAGGCAGGCCGACCCCTCACCCCCAGCACCATCTGTTTCCTTGGCCACATACCTTGTCCTGGGGGGCCTTGTTAGGACTTGGACCTTCCCGAATGGTAGCCTGGCCAGGGCACCTTCCCCCTTCTTTTTCTCTTTCTCTTTTGGTAGCTGCTGACTGCTCTGCCCCACCCTGCCAGCTGCAGCTTAACCCCCAAGGACCTCCTTGCCTTCCCCAGACTACCAGGGGACCAGCAGGAGCAACTGGAGTCTCCTCAGTTGGCTATCGTAGGAGCAGCAGGAAAGAGAGGGGTCAGATAGAGGTCATAGGATCCAATTTTATCCTGGCTGAGGAAAAAGGAGAGAGAGGGTCCTGGTGGGGTCCGGCCTATAGTCCAGTGATGGGGAAAGGAGAGCCTCTGCGCCACCTGCTGGCAGTTCTGGGAAAAACCCCAGGCGGATGTAGGGCGTTGGGAGGGGGAAAGGGCAGTGAGTGTTCGCTGCCTGGGAGCAAGGAGGAATGGCTTGCAGGTCTCTGGTAGAAGGGTCATGGCAGACTTGGAGAATTTGGAGAGCTGTGGCCATGGAGTGTAGCCTTCCTAGGATTCAAGACGTGCTTGGGCATTGTCTCGGTTCTGGAGGGAGCCCTAACCTGGAATTTAGCACCCAGTAGGAGCTGGTTAGAAGCAGGAAGAACCGAAAAGACCTGGAGATGCCCTGAGGGAGCCTGGAAAAGGGTTTGTCAGCACCACTTGTTTTACATGCGCCGTTCAGTGCTTTCCACCTTAGCCAGACACACAGTAGGTACTCAGCAATGTTTGTTGACTGTATGGAACAAATTCACTTTTCTAACATGTATTTTTGAATACCTACTATGTACTGGGTTCCAGGCAACGTTTTGAAAGAACACACAAACACCTGAACTGGAGAGGGGGAAGGGAGAGTCTGCAGGGAGGGGGTAAAGTGTCCTCTGGAGTCACTGACACCTGGAGACTCACCAGCACTTGGACTCTTGAGGGTGTCAAAGCTGTCCAGAGTCTCAGAGCCTGTCTCAGGTCCCTCACACTGGATCATAGTTTGACATCTAGAAGGTTCTTTATCCGATCTTGGAGCAGACTTGACTCACATCTACTCTGCTTTTTGTTTGTTTGTTTTGTTTTATTTTTGGTTTTTTTTTGGTTTTTTGTTTTTTTTGTTTTTTTTTGAGACAGGGTTTTGTAGCCCTGGCTGTCCTGGAACTCACTCTGTAGACCAGGCTGGCCTCGAACTCAGAGATCCACCTGCATCTGCCTCCTGAGTGCTGGAGTTAAAGGTGTACTCCAACACTGCTCAGCTAGTGTGGTCTGTAGACACAGCCCCAAGTCACAGGAAGGCTCAAGACTCATGAGAAGGCAGGAGATGGCATGTAGGTACAGTAAGGGAGCACTCGCTCTTGACCTACATGAGAAGGCAGGAGATGGCATGGAGGTAAGTAAGGGAGCACTCGCTCTTGACCTACATGAGAAGGCAGGAGATGGCATGGAGGTAAGTAAGGGAGCACTCGCTCTTGACCTACATTATTGGGAGTTTAAGGTTGATGTGGATCTTTAGCCTCAGTTCTAGATCAAGCACCTGAGGGGCGTGAGAGAAGTGAGGGGCATGGCTACAGCCACACTAACTTAGTTCCAATGAACTATGGAGCTGTGTCTAAAATTCATCTCTTCGAGTTCAGGACCTGATGTGACCTTTCACCTCCCTTACCTCTAAGGACCTTTCAGAGGATCAGTGTAAAAGTGTTTTTATTTGCCTGACGTAACTGTTGTCTCCCAGCCTTACTGCCTCTATCTGCTAATCTAGGCCTAGTCCTGGAAGCTTCTAGCCTCTGTATAATCTTAGGTAGGCCTAGAATGTTATCAGCCTCTGAGACTTTCTGCTGAATCAGCCCACCTTTTCTAGTTCTTTCTGAGCTTTGGCTGGCTGGTTCAACTCAGCTGTTGTGGCTCCTCTCCAAGCTTACTGACTCAATCTGACTTCTCTCTTCCCTCTGACTGAATTGCTCTGCTCGACCTCATACTAACTTTGGTAATTTGCCCTAATCTTCTGGCTCCTTCTCACTCTCTGGCGCATTCTGTCTTTACTTGGGTTTAGCTTGTTCTCTCTTCAATCTGTCTCTCTATAAGAGTCCTGGTAAAACTGTCTCCTTCTCCTCTCTCTCTCTGCACAGCTTCCTCTTATGTTGACTCTCTTTCCTCTCTCTTCTCTGGAGAGTTGGGCATATCCTATTCTGTCAGATCTTTCTCTGATTTGTCACTTTGCCACTCAATTAGACATCACTTTCAAACATGGATGCTTCCTTTTTACAAACTAACTTTATCAACATTGTCTGTCTCCCAGCCAGATCACACAGACCTAGAAGGTCTTTGGGGCTGGGTGGTGGTGGCACACGCCTTTAATCCCAGCACTTGGGAGGCAGAGGCAGGCGGATTTCTGAGTTTGAGAGTTCGAGGCTAGCCTGGTCTACAGAGTGAGTTCCAGGACAGCCAAGGCTACACAGAGAAACCCTGTCTCAAAAATCCAAACCAAAAAAAAAAAAAAAAAAAAAAAAAGAAGGTCTTCTGATGTGATCAGAGCAGCCATACTGCTGGATGAATAAATATTCCTCTACGGATCAGGATACTCTTCTCTGGAGGACACAAGGGGTGTGATGATCCCAGGGGCACTGGTGAAACCCAGGGACACATCATTTACCAATGCTTTCTACGTTCCATCGTCCTCACAACACTGATGGCTGAGAACATTACGCCCCATGTCATTGCTGAAGAAACTGATGCTCAGAGAAAATGGTTTGCTGTGGGTTGTATAGCCAGGAGACACTGGTCTGTCTTGTCTCTGAGATTAGTCTCTGATA